TGTGAAAAAACCTACATATTATATGATTTCAACTATATGACACTGCGAAAAGCCAAAACTATGGAAGCAGCTTTAAGATTAGTGGTTGCCAGGGACTAGCAGAGAGGGAGGGATGAAGGGGTAGAGCACAGAAGATTTTTAGGGAAGTAAAATTTCTCTGTATGATGCTATACTGATGGATACACATGATTATACACTTGTCCAAACACATAGACCGTACACTAGGAGTGAACCCTAATGTAAACAATGCACTCTGCATGATAATGATGTGCCAATGTAGGTTTATCAATGATAACAAGTGTACCATTCTGAAGGGGGATGTTATGCATGTGTGGAAGCCAGAAGTATATAGATTATCTCTATACCTTCCTCTCAATTTTGCTGTGAATATAAAGTTGCTCTAAAAATAAAGTTAATTAAGTAAAATGGGCAAAAGATATGAAGAGACACCTTACCAGAAAGATATACAGATAGCAAGGAAGCACCTATACTCAGTAGCACATACTCATCAGAGAATTTCATATTAAAACAAGAATGAGATACCACTCACTGCACATATATTAGAATGACAATGGTCCCAAACCATGGAAATATCAAATGCTAGCAAGGATGCGAAGCAACAGGAACTTTGATTCATTGCTAGTGGGACTGCAAAATGGCACAGCCACTTTGGAAGAAATTTGGTGATTGATTACAAAACTAAGCATACTCTTACCATTTGATATAGCAAATCATGCTCCTTGTTATTTAGCTGAAAGAGCTGAAAACCTATGGTCACAAAAATGCTGTATGTCAATGTTTATGACAACATTATTCTTAATTATCGAAACGTAGAAGTCCCAAAGATTAAAAAAAAAAGTTCCAAAGATGTCTTTAATAGGAAGATAAACAAGCTGTGGTGCCTCCATGCAATGAAATATTTTTAATAAAAAGAAATGTCCTATAAAGCTGTGAAAATCATGAAGAACCCTTAAAACATGTTGCTATGTGAAAGAAGCCAAGCTGAAATGGCTACATACTGTATAGTTTCAACTATGTGACATTCTAGAAAAGGCATAACTACAGAGATATTAAAAAGATCAGTGGATGCAGAAAGAGAAATTAAGGAATAAATTATATTTACAACTGCATCAAAACCAATAAAATACCTAGGAATACACCTATCCAAAGAGATGAAAGACCTGAAAACTGAAAAACACTAATGAAAGAAATTGAAGATGACATGAAGAAATGGAAAGACATTCCATTCTCATGGATTAGAAGAATAAGTACTGCTAAAATGTCTATACTACATACAGTAATCTATGCATTTAATGCCATCCCTATCAAAACACCACTAGCATTTTTCACAGAGCTAGAGCAAACATTCCTAAAATGTGTATGGAATCACAAAAGACACCAAATAGCCAAAGCAAGTTTGATAAAGAAAAGTAAAGCTGGAGGCATCACAATTCCAGACTTAAAGCTATATTACAAAGCTGTAGTCATCAAGACAGGATGGTATCTGCACAAAAAGAGATACAGAGATCAATGGAACATAACAGAAAACCCAGAAAGGAACCCACAACTATATGGTCAATTAATCTTCAACAAAGCATATCCAACAGGAAGTCTCTCCAACAGATGATATTTGGACAAACTGTACAGGAACATGCAAAGAATGAAACTGGACCACTTTCTTACATCATGCACAAAAAAAAATTCAAAACGGATTAAAGATCTAAATATGGGACAGGAAACCATAAAACTCCCAGAGGAGAAAAGAGACAGTAACCCCTTGGACATTGGCCTTAGCAACTTCCTTCTAGATGTGTCTCCTAAGGCAAGGGAAATAAAAGCAAAAATAAACTCTTGGGACTTCATCAAAATAAAAAGCTTATGCACAATGAAGGAAATAATCAACAACACTAAAAGGCAGTACACTGAATGGGAGAAGATATTTGCAAATGACCTATCTGATAAAGGATTAGTATCTAAAAATCTATAAAGAATTTATCAAACTCTACACCCCAAAAATGAATCCAATTAACAAATAGAAGACACAGACATTTGCCAAGGAAGACACACAGATGGCCAACAGACACATGATAAAATGTTGATCATCAAAGAAAATAGAAATCAAACCCACTAGGAGCTATCACTTCATACCTGTCAGAACAGCTAAAATCAACACAAGAAACAAATGTTGGCAAAGAAGTGGTAAAAGGGGAACCTGTTGGTGGAAATACAAAATGGTGCAGCCACTCTGGAAAACAATATGGAGGTTCCTCAAAAAGTTTAAAACAGAACTACCCTATTGCACTTGCAATTGCAGTACTAGGTATTTACAATGACTAAGGATACAAAAATACTGATTTAAAGAGATACAAACACCCTGATGTTCATAGAAACATTATCTACAATAGTCAAATCATGGAAACAGCCCAAGTGTCTATCAGCTGAGAAATGAATAAAGAAAATGTGTGTACACCACATTTTCTTATCCCATTTCACACACACCCCATAACATTATTTAGCCATAAAAAAGAATGAAATCTTGCCATTTGCAATGATGCAGATGGAGCTAGAGTATATTATGCTAAACAAAATAAATCAGAGGAAGACAGATACCATGTGATATCATTCATATGGAATTTAAGAAAAAAAAGTGATCAAAGAAAAAAAGAGAAAGACCAAGAAACAGACTCTTAATTATAGAGAGCTGATAGCTACCAGAGGGGAGGGGAGTAGGGGATATTAAATAGGTGATACAGATTAAGGGGTGCACTTGTTGTAATGAGCTGGGGGTATAGGAAGTGTTGAATCATTAAATTCTACACCTGAAACTAATATTAAGTGTGTGTTAAATAACTGGAACTTAAAAACAAATTAAAAAAAATAAGAAGATTAGTGGTTGCTAGGAGTTTGAGGGGAGAGAGGGAGAGATGAATACGCAGAACACAGATCTGTAGAGCAGTGGAACTATTCTGTAGGATACTGTAATGGTGGATACGTGTCATTATACATTTGTCAAAACTCATGGTGTGTACAACACAAAGAGTGAAAGCTAATGTGAACTGTGGACTTCAGTAAATTAAAAAAATTATCAATATTGGCCCACCAATTATAACAAATGTACCACAAATAATGCAAGATATTAAAAATAAGATAAATTGTGTGGAGAAGGATGAGGGAATACTTGGAATTCTTCCAATTTAGCGCTCGATTTTTGTGTAAGCCAAAAACTGCATTCAAAGTCCATTAATTTTAAAGAAGGACATTTCAGACTTATCTGACAAACGATTGAAAATCAATTAAAATCTATTATTCAGGTGAAAGTCCTTAGTAAAGAGAACGCTTTCAAAACTAAAGGAAATGCTTAGCTAGCGACCACAGAAAAAGACGCTTTCTATAAAAACACTAACCTAATGAGTATTGCTCACTATTGTTTCATAAATCCAGAGGGTTTTTTTTAGCACCATGAAATGTAAGTGATGTTAGTTCTTTCAAACTTATCTCCCATCTCTTGGGGTCATCCCAAACCATTTTAAGATGAATTGATTCAAACACTAAAAATATTGGTAGGAAAATTTATCCAAGAATCTTTACAAGTGAGCCAATCTTGCCACACTGACAATTACCCATAAGCCAGAAATAAATGTTAACGTTAAGTCCATCCTCAAAGTCTTAGCTTCCAGACCCATTCAAATATTTTCATATGGACTTCATTGACTTGGTCATAATGTGAAATGTGTATGTAAGTTGTTTATATAATTCTGGTTGAATTAAAGATTTCCACAACTTTTCACCATTTACGTGGATATTACTTCAAACAGAATTTACAGTTTCTTGTTTATTTCACTGTCCTCACAACTGGGGAGAAGAATAGAAGCATGTTGCTCTTCAGTATTTTCTTTATTAAAATTATGGTCTTGGAACGCCAGATTGAGCACCTCTCATTACAGTAACATAATCGATAAAGACAGCTTTTCGTGATAGTTATCAACTGAAACATTTCTTTAATATTTTATTGTGGGAAAATATACATAAAATTTTAATGATTTTTAGATCAGTTCAGTGGTATTGAATCATTCACATTGTGAATCATCACCATCACCCATCTTCAAAACTCTCTCGTCCCAAACAGAAACTGTCCTCATAAAATGATAGCCCCCTATTCCTCCCCCACTCCCCATCCCTATAATCATTATTCTATTTGTTTCCATAACTCTATTCTAGGTATTTCTTTTGCTGCCAGCTTGTTGCTAAGTACTTGCTAAGTATTGTTGAATTTTTCAGAAAACCAATTTGTATTTTTGTTTTTCTGTTGAGAGTTTTTCTATTCCCTAGTTTATTTACTTCTGCCTTAATCTTTATTATTTCCCTCCTCCTGCTATTCAAGATTTGATTTTTCTTTTTTTTTTTTCCTAGTCCTTTGAGGTATAAAGTAGGGCTCCTGGTGTTTGTCTGAGATGCTACAATCTCCCTATGAAGTATGTTGGAATGTTTGCCTTCTCAGCCTCCCCAACATGACCACCAAACCTGCCATTCCCATCAGGGCACCAAATCATACCAGATGGAAAACCACCACTCAGGCCATCTCCTGAAAGCCAGGAAGTAATACCCATGGTCCACTCATCTCTTTCCCTCCAGAGGGAAAGTATTGTTAGGAATCTTCTGGTCATGCCACACTGGGCCAGCGATGTAAAGCGATTTGGGCAAGAAAAAATGCCATCAAGTTGCCTGACCACTCTACGATATCTCTTCTTGGCTTTGTGCTTGTCTGGGTGCTGCAGCCTCTTAAATGGTTTTTCGCAATAGCAATTTGATCAATATAGTATAGTCTCCATGGAGGAACAAGAGCTCAGAAATTTCTGTTCTGCTACCTGGCTAATGAAACTCTGATAATTCTCACCATCAAATCATGCCTCTTCTAGGGGAATTTTGAGTTTTATTGCAACAACCACCATATCTCTTGGAGAAAAGGAGAAAAGTTCCCGGATACAAAATTCTACCTTCCTTTATATTGTCCTCTTTTTTTGCAATGCTTTGTTGAAGGCAGCCTTCATCTGAGCATTTCTCAGACTGTAAATGAGAGGGTTCAGCAATGGGTTGAAGAGGGTGTAAAACAGGGTAAGGATTTTCTGCTGCTCCTCACGTTGGCTACTGTCTGGAACCAAATAAACCATCATGGCTATGCCAAAGTAGAATCCAACCACACAGAAGTGGGAGGAGCAGGTGGAAAAGGCTTTTCTGCGCCCTTCCTTTGTTTGGATCTTCAGGATGGCCCAGAGGATGCGCATGTAGGAGACCAACATCAGAGAAAGGGGCCCAACTAAGACAAACACGCCACCAGCAAAGACTAAGACTTCATTGATCCAAGTGTCACCACAGGCCACTTTGAGGACAGAGAGGATTTCACAGAAGAAGTGGTTCACTTCCTGGGGCCCACAGAATGTCAACTTTAGGAAGAGAATTAGATGCACTAGGGCCAAGGAAAACCCACATGCCCAGGTAGCAATGACCAGGACCACGCACACTCTCCAGTTCATGATGACGGTGTACTGGAGAGGATGGCAGATCGCCACAAACCGGTCGTAGGCCATCACTACCAAAATCAGGCACTCTGCATCAGCAAAAGTCACAAACAAAACTATCTGCATAGTGCATGAGACAAAGGAGATCGTTTTTTTGTGTTTCACTAGGTTTTCCAGCATATTGGGCAGATTGCTGGAAGCATAGCATATGTCAATGATAGCCAGATGAGAAAGGAAGAAATACATGGGGGAGTGCAGTCTGAGGTCTAGCCAAATGAGTCCCAAGATCATGCCATTTGCCAGCAAATTAAAGATATATAACAGGGAGAAGACACAAAAGAGGAGCACTTCAATGTCTTCACTGAGCTGGAATCCCACTAGGATAAATTCCGTGATCCACGATTGGTTGCCCTCCATTCCTTAATGATAGTTTATAAAGGACTAAAGTGGGATAGAAAAGTCAGAGCTGGTCACCAATGAAAATTGAAGTTATTTACCTCAAAATGAACTCAAAGGAGGCTTGTATGCTTGTCCCTACTTGACTTCTTTCTCCTCCAATTATTTTTTTAGTTTAAAATTTTTATTCTGAAATAATTCAGACTTTCAGATCAGTATCTAAAAATTAAAACAATACTACTATATACATATTACCAGATTGTTTTAAATCTTTATCATTTCTTTTTCTCCATATACACATTCATTGTTTTCTGGACCACATAAGAGTAAAATGTAGCCACAATGCCAATTTGTCTCTAAACTCAATTGATTTTTTTTTCCCTAAAGAAAAAGATTTACTAATCTATCTTCAGGATAATTTAAAAAAAAAATCAGGAAATGTAACATTAACGTGATTCTGTATTCTAGATACAGATTTTTCTGTCCCTCTAGTCCAAGGCATAATCTAATATCATGCATTTTATCTCCTCAAATCTGAAATAATCACTCAGCCTTTACCTTGAAATTGATATTTTTGAATGTATGTCTCTTGATTTGGGTTTTCCATTGATTACCCATTTTTTAGTTCAAAATACACATTTCTAATAAAATTTTTAAAAAGTTTCCTTCTTAATGGCTTCTATTAATACCCAGATAATATTAATCTGTCCCAATATCAGTGATACTAATGTAGATCTCTGGTTAAGGTGGTGTCTCCAGGTTATCTCCATTATTAAATTACTACTCCAGAATTTAAAGCACTTTCTTACTTCTGGCTAAGTTATTCTAGCCTCATCTTGTACATTTCTCACTTCAGCTTGAAATCCATTATTTCACGAAAAGGGTCTAGTTTCTTTTAGTGAAGAACTGTATTTTCAGAAAAATATCGGATTTTATTATTTTTTTATTAGATCTTTAACCATATTTTTATGATTGTTGCCAAATTTCCAATATTCCCCATTTAATTAGTAAAGCATATAACTTAGCCCACAAACTATTAAAGGAGATAATGAAGTCTTATTTAATCCTAATGCATCTTTACAGACTTCTTTGGAGAGCCAAATCTGTTTTTACTAAATTAAGATTAAAGAAAATGATCTGGATATTATGCAGTTTATTTGGGGAAAATGGATACTAATAATCCCTGAATCTTACCATCTTAATTTTTTTTTGTTTTTCTTTATATTTAGATACTCATAGACTTGGTAATTTCTGATTCACAGATTAGTTTCAATAGTCTGGTTTGCTGGGTGAATGAAAAAGCACCTACTTACCTCATATGAGATTTTGACATCAAATTTTCAAAAGTATTTTAGTAAAACATGAAATGCAATAAAAGACTAAAGAGATGATACTGTGAAACGTAGCCAAAGGTGATCATTGTTAATAATTTGCATAGAGTGTTTCATTACTTATTGTACATATGTTTTCATACAAAATTAAAAAATGAACAGTATTATCTCTCTCATTTAGAATCATTTGCTGTACATTTTCCATGACAAAATATTTTTCTACAACATACTGACAGTAGCATATTTTATATCTTAACTGATTTAATATATTACCTTCTAGCAATATTGTATGCAATATACATTGTGTGCAACACTAAATTTTATAAATTTTGTGTATCTTTTATTATTTTCCTATAATAAACTCCTAAACATCAAAGTTTCTGGTCAAGTCAATCTCCATCATTCTCTGTCTAAAAAAGCAAATAGGCAAGGATAAAAAAATCTAGACATATCAACATCAGAAGAAATCAATCAGGGGGATATAATCTGATGATCATGACTTGAATCTCAAACTCATCTTTCCTATGAAGTTGTCCCACTTTAGCTTTTCAGCGGTCATGCTCTCAAGTTTTTATATGATTTAGTCCAACTTGGTATAAGATGTACTTCCTTCAGTTCATTCTCTCATCTTTATATTAAATACCAAGAAAGAGTAAGACTAGTTACTGGAAAGTGGGACTTTATGAAGTTTAAGAATAATCAGACTACAATGTAGGTAACTTCTGGGTTACTGGATTAAATCTGACTTTCTTCATCTACTTACAGTGGAGAGCCATTTACCCTCCAATCTCAGGAAGCTGATTACAACTGGGACATTTGGCTGGATGTCTTTCTGCCCAAATGGTTCCATGTGGAAGTAGTTATCCCAATACCACCTATTCAGGACTTTCTTCCTAGACATCTTTTTACCTATTATTTAAGACCAAAAGATGCACTTTGTTTGTATTCATTGGTTTTTCTTAATTTCCAAATTTGTGGTCAAAGAGGTACTCCTGTTTCCTAGATGAATGACAACATGGAATGACTTGGCATTTAAGGCCTATATCATCCATTACACAGAGATTTCTTTACATATACAGTCATTCAAGTTAAAAATATTTTAATGCGATCAACACCATAGCTCTTTGATACAAAATATTACGTAACTGTGATAGACGTTTACCACACATGGCCAAGGCATGTTTTCTACAAAGCTAACATATTTCCAGATGATAGAAGGCAAATATCTTAAGAGACGGATATAGTTTAATTCCTATTTCTTGACTTTCTTTTATGCTTATAGTATTAGTAATAAAACTATTCTTGAAATTATTTTATATATCATTATATATCCTTGTGGAGAATGTCTTTTAGAATAGCTGGTATAGGGGTGCCTGGGTGGCTTAGTGGTTGAATGTCTGCTTTTGGCTCAGATTGTGATCCTGGGGGTCTGGAATGGAGTCTCACATCAGGCTCCCTGCAGGGAGCTTGCTTCTCCCTCTGCCTAGGTTTCTGCCTTTCTGTGTCTCTCATGAATAAATTAATTTAAAAATCTTAAAAAGAATAGCTGGTATAATTCTTGATTAAACACTCAAGTGTTTGTTAAATGGAAAAAACAATTTGTGTATATATACTTATACATACACACACACACACACAGATATATCAGGTCACATGTCAGCATTACACTGTTCCACACAGAGTTTTACATATCCCAAGGGTCATAAACCTCAAACAGATACCAAAAATTACAATGTCAAAACTCTCAAAATTATTCTAGTTTTATGAATTCATGTTTTACTACAGTTTATCTAACTCTCCACATAAGCATCATCTATTGAGCAAAACGTGAATTCTACGTTACTAGAAAGAAGTTCAAAATTAGAATTTAATCATTTGAAAACTGCTTTCTTACAAAGATGCTATGCACGATTCATGTAATTTTAATACAGTGTTTCTACAGGGTGTTCTTGAATAAGCTTTGGACGTATAGACAATAGTGTGTATCTGCAGATAATATGGCAACACCTAAAGGAATTAATGTCTTGTAGTTGCTTTGAAGTTATGCCTAGGAGAAAGTTTCAGGCAAATTGCTTTATTGAAAAATGAGCTTATAGGAAATAAAAGAACCTAAGAAGGAAACTTGGCAAGACATGTGGCAACATTTTGAAGCTTTGAAAAAACATTGGAATTAAAGGAGTTATCAATTATGAGGGTAGTGGTCCTTTAGGAACACTGAGTCTAACAAAATTGTAGACATAGTCCCAGATGCCAGTGTTTCTATCAATATGATTGTATTTGCAAGGGTTTCTATAATTGTGCTTTAGGTTTGTAACATTATCAAGTTTTGCTACAACTACAAAACATTATGGTGTGTAAAACCGGCATAGTAACATCTTGACTTTTTAGGTTAGGTATTTTTGTGTCTGAATCAATTAACTCTTATCTTCATCTCCATTACTATATTTTCATCTCACTGAAAAATACTTTTAGAAATAGTGAAAGTAGATTAAATCTTTTAAGTAAGGCAGCTCTGAAATAGAGAAGAAAATTTTAAGAAAGCCTGAAAAAAATCTCCCCTTTCCAATAGAGAATAAGTTAATAGCAGTTCAGAAAACAAAGATCTGAGTGGTCAGTATGAGCAACTCACCCCCCAGGGCAGTCCTGTAACTGCCAGGGAGCTTTACTCTGTTTCTCCAACTGTAGCCAGAGATCTTGGCACTTATTCTATCCTACTTTGTGGTAGGGACAAATGGTTGTATCAAGGATTGTAATTACTGAGCCTATATTGAGTGATAGCCTAGGAACATTTTGGTAAGAAACAACTATGTAGCAAACTTACCTCTTACAGGGTTTGGTCAAGGAAAAGACTTGGCTATACCTATTACTAGAATTTTGCTTTCCATTAACAGGTTACTCTACCAATATCTTCTTCTATGTTAGTTAATAGAAGGTCCTTTGATTCTTTGGGCTACATCAAAGCCTTATCCAGGAGAAATGCCTGCATATGAAGCCTCTCCTACCTTCCAGATTCCTTCTCAAACAGTAGAGTTGGCCTAATTTGGAGCCCACCACTCACCCACACTGAGAAGTGAAGAGAAAGCTACCAAAGGATCACATGGTCCCTGCCACACACAGCTCAGTGGGCAGAGGCTCCTGGAGCTGGGGAGGCATGGAATCAGGCAATCTAGTCCACCTGTCTGCAAGGCAAACTTTGAGTCAGAAGAACTCAGGATATTTCACTCAGGAATGTCACTCCACTTAGGGTGATATCAGTCAGGCTGATTTCTGCTGCCACCTGTTCTACTTCAATTATCATGCTGAAAATCATCCCCCAGTGCAAATAAATCTCTCTACATCAGCAGATGTAAGCACTTGCGAATCTACTTTGATCAAAATCAGATCCTTCAGAGTTAAGTTACATAAGAGGTTGTAGAAGTCTGCAGAGGAGAAATCTCAGATTCAGGAGCACTTAACTACAATTGCTGGTGGCTTTGTGACGCAACATGAAATTCTAAATTAAACCACTAGGAATAAAGGTTTTATTTAAATTAGCTAAGAACTCAAATTCCCAGAAGAACCATGAGATATCATAGGTCTTTACTTCTCCCTAAAGGGTGGGGGGATCCCTGAAATTTCTCTCTCTGGAGAACAAAGAATTTGTCTAATTGACCTTGGAGGAAAATGCTAGGAAGAGGTGGGGCACATCCT